CTGTCGCTATGTAATAACTACTCAACAAACACTGTCACATTGTATAAACTATTCACCAAACACTGTCACTTTGTAGTAACTACTCACCAAACACTGTCGCTATGTAGTAACTACTCACCGAACACTGTCACATTGTAGTAACTACTCACCAAACATTGTCACTATGTTATAACTACTCACCAAACACTGTCGCCTTGTAGTAACTACTCACCAAACACTGTCGCTATGTAGTAACTACTCACCGAACACTGTCACATTGTAGTAACTACTCACCAAACCCTGTCTCTTTGTAGTAACTACTCACCAAACACTATCACTATGTTATAACTACTCACCGAACACTGACCCCTTGTAGTAACTACTCACCAAACACTGGCGCTATGTAATAACTACTCAACAAACCCTGTCACATTGTATAAACTATTCACCACTGTCACTATGTAGTAACAACTCGCAAAACACTGTCACTATGTAGTAACTACTCAGCAATCACTGTCACTTTGTAGTAACTACTCACCAAACTCTGTCACTCTGTAGTAACTACTCACCAAACACTGGCGCTATGTAATAACTACTCAACAAACCCTGTCACATTGTATAAACTATTCACCACTGTCACTATGTAGTAACAACTCGCAAAACACTGTCACTATGTAGTAACTACTCAACAAACACAGTCACTATGTAGTAACTACTCAACAAACACTGTCACCTTGTAATAACTACTCACCGAACACTGTCACATTGTAGTAACTACTCACCAAACCCTGTCTCTTTGTAGTAACTACTCACCAAACACTATCACTATGTTATAACTACTCACCGAACACTGCCACCTTGTAGTAACTACTCACCAAACACTATCACTATGTTATAACTACTCACCGAACACTGTCACATTGTAGTAACTACTCACCAAACCCTGTCTCTTTGTAGTAACTACTCACCAAACACTGTCTCTATATGTTATAACTACTCACCAAACACTGTCATTATGTAGTAACTACTCACCAAACACTGTCACTATATGTTATAACTACTCACCAAACACTGTCACCTTGTAGTAACTACTCACCAAACACTGTCACTATGAAGTAACTACTCACCAAACACTGTCACCACGTAATGCACTTTTTTCCCCATCGCTCGCTATGAGATATTCAATCTCATTTGTTCGGTCGGTGTCATGGGCAGAATTGTAATTGGTGACACTTCTGCAGGGAATCCCGAGGGCTCTACAAACTGATGAAGGAATAAAATATTATATACACATATATCTATGGCACATAAGTGCCCTAAACTTCCTGCGTGTTCCCTTTTGTAGTTCTATTACGACACTTTCGTATCATACTATGGAGCTCCAAAGATTCATGGTATTTTTACAACAAAACCATTGATGAAATTTTGTAATTTTATCTTCTCTTGGGAGTAGGTATTGATTGTTACGTCACTTGTTTGTGAGTGTAACGTCATAAATTTTTGAGAAAACGACGTAATTTTCTCACACAAACCAATGACGTAACAATCAATACCTACTCCCAAGAGAAGATAACTCTGCAATACGCAAAGACGGAATAGCTCACTTTCAGAACGTTTCCATTAATACTTACCGCAAAGGTGACTTGTATTCATGTTTGTGAATCTGTCAAATGGTAATTCAGTGTGTTGCGAAACAATGGCAATAGATTAGTGGATTTGTTTGATTAACATCTGTTAAAAAACATGTCGTCAGTGTATATTTCTTATCGTCTGTTAACCAAATAGCGACTGAAAATGACAATTTTCTTCCGAAATATATATAGATAAAATTCATAAAATAGGGCAGGGTCAGAAATGAAAGAACCGCTAAGCTTGTTGTAAAATTAAGACAAATAGGTATCGCGTGTTACCTCGCACAAAAGAACAGTCTGATTTCAATAATAATAAACATTGAAGTAAGCACGAAAAATAATTTCAGTACATTTTATTTGGTATAATATATATAATCGACACATGTTTATGGTTAAATTATAACTAAAATGTTGGAAAAATCAAAGATCTACACAGGCTGCAATACGTCTTCATTAATTATTTATTCAAACATTATTAAATAGGATAGCCCGGGTGATGTACAAATATTTAAGGTAGGTATTATTGTTTAAACTGTACAATTGGCGATACCTGCTGTTACATGATTGCCCGAGGGCTCTACAGTTACTACTGGCAGGTATTATTATTTTATAACTCTACTTTTGATGGTGCGTGCTCTCATGACAGCCTAAGGGCCATACAGATATTAATGGTAAATGTTATTATTTTACAGCTATACTATTGGCGGTACATGCTCTTATATGTTAGCCTGGGGTATCTACAAATATTGATGGTACATGCCATTATTTTACAACTGTTCTTTTGGTGGGTTATGCTCCTACATGATAGCATGTTGACTCTATAAATACTAATGATGGATGTTATTATTCTCAACTGTACTATTGGTGGTATGTGCTGTTACAGTATAACCTAGGCACTTTTAAAATCTGCAATGCATTGTGGTGTCTTTGCTGGAAAATTTAACAGGGCAAAGGTATGTAGTTTTAGCATAGGTTCTTAGAGCACACAGATATTTACCTGTAACTGTGACTCCGGAAAACACCCAGCATTGGCCGAATTTGACCGGTCGCTCTTCTTTATGATACTGTTTCAGAATCTTGGTACTCCCTGTCCAGTTCCATGGTTTAACGCCATCGTCGTAGGGTGCGCCCCATTTGCCAACTAACACCCCATCTATGTTGTTGGAGTTAACCTGTAATACGTAAAACACATTGCGCTATAAGGAGTGTTTACAAAGTCGTGTTTCCTTATCCTTCTGTTGTGTCTCACGTTCCTCTAGTTCTTTTTGTGCATGTATTTATTTGTTTTATTTATTTTCAAGCTTATTTATTTAAGTATTAAAGAGAAAAAATGCACTTCAACTCGTTCCATGTTGATAGGTGAAAGGGCCTGTTTCCAGTAATGTTAATTCTCCATAGGAGCCTGCCCCCGTATAATTTCTTATCTAGCTCAACTACTGTTTTTTTCTTTTCCGAAAAAGAATTTTACACCTTTCCGACTCCCAGATTTCATAATTTCAGTGAAAATGTATTTTTATAAAGTTGTCAATTTCAGCATCAAAGACATAAGTTCGTAAATAAAAGAAGGTTATCTCGAAATTGTAATTCGCAACATAGTATAAATTTCTTTTGATAAATATTTCCAAAACATCGTGTTTATTCATAAAACATAAAAAAAAA